ACGGGAACATCAATCAACAAATATTTGGGCTTCCCATGGGATCGCCGCTTTTGGCAAACGTATACATGAATAAAATAGAAGAGAACTACAAGATGTCATCACTACAACCAGCAGTGCCCATGCGGTGCCTGAATGATTGCTTCGAATTTTGGTCACATGGAACAGTTTTGTAAATTTGTTAACCAGATCAATGGAAAAAGTAAATTCATGATGAAAGTAGAGGAAGGTGAGCGGTTACCATTTTTGGATGTTGAAGTAATTTGCTCGAACGGAACGCTCAAAAAGAAATTGTTCAGAAAGAAGAATTATGCCGGGATAATACTCAATTTATGGTCCCATCACAATTAGAAGCTATAGATAGGAATAATGAGGAGCATGATAATCCGAAGTCTACGTTTAACGGATGTAGAATTTTGGGACAAGGAGTTGGACAAATTGACTCTGACATTCCTGGGAAATGGCTACCAAACCGAAGTAATACAAAAAAACATACAGGCCACGAAAAGCCGATGGTAAGTGGTCATAAAAAAATCAACACTTTTCGCAAATCTCATAGACGCAACATGAAAGGTTAGATTATTCAGGAGTTTACTGTATATAATGCGGCACCTGCTAACAGAAATATGTTGGCGAAACAGGGAGTATAATTAGCATATGAATCAAGGAAAATCAAAAGCTCTGCAGAAAAATGAATACCGAAAGATCAGAATTAGCGGAACACATCGCACAGACTGGAAACGAGATTAGTTGGAAGAAAACAGAAATAAGGGCCTTATAGGAGGAAAACACAAGCGAAAGATTAAGGAGGCCATTTACATCCTTGGGAAGAAAAATCTAATGAACAGGAGATTTGGAGGAAGCTAGAGTTAGCGATAACTTTGCCTACTACTTAAGCAAACTCGGGGAAAACAAGAATAGAGCAAGAACAGCAAACAGGAGACGCATGGATCATGGATCTATCGGTAACCTGAGGAAAAGAGATCGCAATAAGGAAAGTGGGGGGTGGGGATTTTCGTCAATTGAGCGAAGACATTGTCAGTGGGTGATGTTTGTTCGAATGAACCAGTACAACTTTGGGGTTCTATTCGCCAGGGAGCTAGGCAGACGGATAAGCAAACCGTCACAGAAATTCGACGTTATAGCCAAAATGTACTAGAAATCCAATTAAGATTCAGCATGCTAACATAGTTAGGCGCCCACAGTTTGCTCAGGTTACATGGGTTTAATCAAAGAGACGACCCGTGAAGGCAATGCCTGATATCTGCAAACATAAGAATCATAGCCTAGGCACTCTGCTCGGTGAGGCGGCAGTGTACGTGCTACTAGGGCCTTGACAAATAGCGCCTGGAGAGAAACGCAAACTGGGATTGGAACCGAGTGAAATTGGTCAACCAGAAGGATAAGGAACGGATCAACGGGACTATAAGGGGGTTCCGGATTGGAGGCCCAAGTCGGATTAGCCGATCGAAAGAGAGGGGGTCAGGGTGAATAGCAGGTGTGATGAAGCCACATTAGATTTGCTACAAAAGGGCACACATTTTGACGAATCGAATGTATACAAGTCAGAAGTTGTGATGTGGCGGGAGTTGGATAAGAGGATAAAGAGTGTATAGATAGGCCAGGACAGGAAGAGGAGTGACAGTGTAACCTTTTTCGGCAGAACGTTGGTGGAAAGATTGACTTCATCCATCCCTTTGACGAATTCGCAGCTTGTTGCGGAGATTGGTAGCACTCACTGATGATGCCGACTACGATGCCGGCGAAATGTTTGAGAATGTACTAAGTCCACTGTCTGATGCTTGGAATTATGATAACTACTATGACAGAGTACTTCGGACTAGGTGCGTTCTACTAAGTCTCCCTAAAAACAAGACCAAGTTGCGACAACGAGATCAACCCACTTCTAAGAAACACTATGTTTGGGGCGCATGATTAATTGTATAAAAATGTCCTTTATTTCGGAGTTGAAAACTCAAGGAATTGTTTTCTTAGAGCTATTCATTACCCGGACACAATAAATGTATAAAGATTATCTTTATAACTCGACAATTTTTGAATGAAGGTATTGCATAACCAAGACAATTCAAATGGATGAGATGGAATTTTCACCAAATGCATACAATTTTCATAGGTGCTGCATGGGCTGTTGAAATAAAGCTCTCTAACAATGCTTCAATGAACAAAAGCCAGCCTAGACATTTGATACGTGAAAAGTGAATGAAATTATTATTGTCAAACAGCTTATCTTTAGGGACAATTAAGCTGAACAATTATATAGGAGCTATTAAAAACGAGAGTAATTTTGTCTTGAAGCTAAATTCCAATCTAAAAAACTTCAGCCATTAAACATTATTCGTAAATTCAAATTCAATCTAATGTAATCTATAAGTATGCATGCAGTTGTGGCAAAAATCATAGTGTTGGAAACTAGTTCAATCTATCCACTGGCGTGATTGAGTTAAAAGACCCGGTATCAAAGTGTAATCGATGTTATAAGGCGAGCTGGGCATAAATTCTATTTCTCAACTTATCTAAGAAGTTGGGTTTCCAACAAGGAAAAGATCAAAGATGTCATAACGACACTAAATTCCATTTAGCCTTGATTCCCAAATGGTCTTCCCATCCATTTAAACCTCATTAGAATATAATAAGCACCCCGAACGGAATTCTAAACATAACTGTGTGCGTTAAAAGAATCGTTACCGTTCCGCTACATATCCAAGACGCCATTCAGTCGTAGGGAGATATGACTTACAGGGCAATCCAGGCCTATTCCAAGTTTAATTATTGTCTATAAGGCAAACTTATATTTGCCATTTCAGTCGATGAATTACTTTGACGCTGTAAGTATATTCCTAAATAATCAGTTGGTCATGAATAAGAACTCAAGTCAGCATTAAGATATATTTACTGAGTTGGAAGCAAGACGCCAATAAAATTTCAATGGCACCATCAGGGATTATATTAGTTTCAATGCAGGAACTTTAATTAGGAGTACTTAAACTAGCCTAAGTGACCTAAAAGGGATCGAGTTCGTAATAATTCTAAGAAGTATTCTGAAGCGCGCAGATTTAGAACGTAATTTTCTCCAGGGGAAATGATAAACTACTGCGAAATCATTGCACTCATAGCGAAAATACTCTAAAAAAGCTAATAAATGACAATGGTCTTCAATTATATTCTCAAAGTAAACCAGTTGCTGACCTCCAGGCCATGGCGCACGAGACTGTTCGTCAAAACACCTGGTCGGTTAGCTATACAGGCCCGGCAATGCCCCAATCTGTCAGAGTCCGTTCTTCCATCTCGTCGATTGCGAGCCCCATCTGCACCGATCATATCGGCTTTATCCTCTGGCCGCAGCACCGAGCCACATGATGGGCAGATCTGCGGCCGACCAGCACGTAAGAATGTTCGCATTATGGAGCGAGCTGCAAGTGAAGAGGAAATTTGCCTTTGATGACAGGCTGTTTGGCCAATACGGCCTCGTCTATAAGACCGGCGATGATACTGAACTACTGGACGGCATGGCTTGTCTGAAATACCAGATCCAATGCCAAAGTGAGTTGGTGAAGTCTCATTACAAGTCAGAACTTTAGAATGGGGACGTCCTAGGAGTGGCGTTGAAGAAAGAGAAGCTGGCTCGTCTACTTCGCCAAATTCTGGAGCTGGACTAGCTGGGTTCACATTCGGCGCAGGTGACGAGATTAGAGAAGAGCAGCTACCCAATCGTCGAAGAGGGAATATGAAGGAGTTGGAAGAGTTAAGGCCAGGATAGATGTTATTTAGCTGGGTTGCCTGTTGCGAGATCATAAGAGTGGAATGCCGGATAGCACCGCTGGATGGATGATATCTGGGCAGGTCGCTCAGCCTGTGGAAAGATGTTTGTAGAGTTTACCAATGAGTCAGTGTTAGCACATTCAGAAAAAAGTTCGAAACAAGAGTTTAGCAACATGGCTAGAATATGAAATTCATTAACGAAAATTCTCATTATGAAAAAATCCATTTACATTATCAGAAGTTTCTCAAATCCACTATCCACAAATGGATATCATACTACCAATGATTAGACAATTGAACAAGTGCGTGCAGAAGCCAGAATATAATCAAACCCATTCAAAAAACTCTTTGCCAGGTGTACAACAAAGCAATGCCCATATTTTTTCTGATATAAAAGCTAATCTACCATTCATGCAGGTTTTCTCCAAGTAGTTCGACCACTCGCTCAAGAGGAGGAATGAACTGTCTGTTTAGATAGTAGGCAAGGTGAAGACGGGGCGCTAAGTGGCGAGAGACTTCGCAATTGCTTCGGTACGAAGTTGTCGTGGCACAGTAGTATGATGATGGTATCAGTGACGAAGGAACAGCCTCCTCGAGGGCTCGGACGCAAGCTACCAGGGCATCGTTCTTTCTGCCGGGTGCCAGAAAATAAGTGACACGCTGTCCAGGTAAGGGCTCTGATAATGAGTCACGGGAAGCTAGGCGTCTTAAGATCAGTGGGGTAGGAGGGGGAAGAAAAAGAAAATATCAAAGAAAACAAGGAAAAGAAGAAAAGAGAATTAAAGAAAACATAATAATAAGGATTAAAGATAAAAGATAAATGAGGAGTAAATGAAAGAGTGAATAAATACGAGATTATTTGCATTTAAAGAAACGTGATATCAAAAAGTAATCAAGTAGGATTGAGCCAATTCGAATAAATAAGTGTTTGAAATTAGTCGGAGCGTCAGGGAGACCTTGTGGAACGCACCTAGTCATGTGCCCTCTGCTATGGTATTCCTGATTTCCACCATCATACCATTGACTTGGTACATTCCCAAGCGTTTCGCCAGCATCGTCAGTGAGAGGCGCCATCATTAGCAGTTACAACTTATAAAAATGACACCCTTGACCAATTTTCTGTTCAACCCTTGTGACAGTACTCTTCGCCCCTATCTTTGTTCTGTATTCTACTTAGGCATCTCTTTCTCTCAACCTCACCCCATATGGCCTATCTACCTATTCACACAATTGTGTGCTCTTGTTTGTCCTATTTCGCCTAAAAGTGTGTCGCTACAAGTTGGTTTGCTGAAGAGTAATCATCTCCACCAACAGTACTAGATGCCATTTGCATAACTCCTGATCTACAATCTGGCCCGTTTCTCTTACCCAGCTTGCCAATTGGTTGCAGCTAAACTAAAAGAAACTATAGACAAATTGCATGACCTGATTAGAACCAGAACAAGGACCAGACAATCCTTTTCTCTGCCGTTTTCTCAAGAAGACTTTCCCAAATTCCACAATATGACGGACGGTCTGGCCGACAGGATGAATAAGATTCTTAGAGCCTGATTAAATAAGAGATTATGGGATTTATTCATTAACATCAGCCCGAGGAATCGTCAAAACAATAAGAACGTAGTTAAGCTTAATGACGATTGCCATAACGAAAATAAAGTGGTCAATATATCCACTATACCTATAGATACTGTTACGCTCCTCTTGGAAAGGGATCTAAATGTTGCCTTTCCAAATGAGCAGAATCATTCTATGGATATACTAATTGAGTTCACCAACTTAATAGACAAGCAGACAGAAGAGGGCAAGAATAGTATACAAAGAGGAGTAACCCTCATTTTGATCAGATAATTATTTGAAAGAAATCTTATGACTTGAATAAGGTTTCTAGATATTTGTGCCAAAATGATTTGTTTGTTTTGAATGCAGATAAAGGTGGCGGAGTGGTCACCATGAGTAAGTTAAGCTATATACTTGTATGCGAGTAGGGGTTCGAGACTACCAGTAAATGAGTGTAATGAGATGTATTCACCCTATTTC